AGACCATGATGGATGCCGCGTCGCACAGGACAGCTGATGAATCATCACCGTAGCTACAGTGCTGCCATGGCCAGCACAGTAGCACCACGTCAGACCCTGCCGTGACGTGGCCACAAGACCATGACGATAGCCACGCCTGGGCGAGCATCAGAAGATGATGTAGATTGCAAGCCAAGTTAGCTATGACCTCCCTCAGGCTCTCGACCCTTCGGTTGGGAGAACCTCCCCTTTGTAACTAGCCCTAGGCACCAAACTCAATATAAGGATAGCCAGGGCTCCGATCGACATATTTTTTATCCTCTACCATTCCATCCATAGCAGTAGGGCTCCTGAAGCTTCTGTTCGGGTTGCCCTCGTCTAGCATAGGTTCTACCACCTCTTTCATCATCCTTGCACCTCCATTATAAGAACTTCAGAGCATTCAAAGGAGGAACACGCACTCGATCTTCTCTGAGACTGAACGTAGGGCTCCGGCCTGAACCAGTATAAATCCTTGTTTTTATTGGATGCTACCATCGTCTTTCTAGAGCAGCGCGACAATCGTATAAATTTACTAATCCGGTTTACGAAACACCGACACTCGTGGACCGAGGAGGAGGAGGAGGAGGAATAATAATACCCAAATGTCGGGCAATTATTTTTCCTTCCTTGTCATCTCTGACTGTGTGTGACGTGGGAAGTTAGGAACATAATGACGTCATCAATGGATCAAAGCAGGAGCAGTATAAAGAGGCGAGAGCGATACAAGGTGGGGGAACGAGAGATCGGCCTGGACGGAAGCAGAGAAAGAAAAAAAAAGGAACTTTATTTGCTAGTACTGTACTAGATTATTTCTCCTGATAATTATTAGTAGGACAATTTAACACAAAAACAATCCAAGAACTAAAACAAACTGATCAAACACGAGATGAATTCTAATCTAAGAATGATAAATAAAAGTACTAAACACACAAAGAGCAAAAGAGGGAGCACAAAAGACGGAGTCCCGCACCGCACTAGATGAAGATTGAAGATTGCTATGCTGTACAAAACTAATAAAGATACAAGAAGCACAGCTTTGTACCGCCAGTTGCCGCCTGCCATGGAAAGGCGGAGAGCATACTTGGACTCACCTTTTCGCGACCTTGAGCCGTCGATGAACTCACCGTCGTCACAGCTCCGACTCCTAGAGTAGTACGTCCGCCTACGGCCTATCATGCTGTCCAGTTCTCTGCACAAAGGAAGACTTGAAAATTCCGAGTCTTCTTCGTCTTCCACTCTCGGGGCCCACTGGATTTGGACAACAGAATAATAGGGGGAGCAACGGGCCCACGTGATTGCACCCTGCTTGATGTATGATTATATGCACTGTTTTCCATTCATGGTCACATCATTGGTTTTTATGGTTTAATTTGGCCCTTTTCTTTTTTGGTAATATTTTATAGTTTGGCCTCGTATGCATGCTCGTGCTCCCAAACCAAAGGGAGCAAACTAGCAATTTGGAATATTTTGATGTCAACCTTAAAATACCTTTTAACTTTTTTTTATACAAAATATGCTTTCGTAGCGAGAGAACTTTTTAGCTATTTTTATGAACCGTTAAAATCTTGGTATAAAATACCTCGATTCAAAACATGGAAGAGTTTTGTACCTTTTTGTAGTAGTTTGTAATGTATTTTTCTCCTAAATTATAAGATATTTTGGCTTTTCTTTCTAAATACATTGCTTTCATTATGTATCTAGGTATAACATATATTTAAATGCATAACAAAAGCTATGAATCCAGAAAAGCCAAAACGTCTTACAATTTGGAATTGTGAGATTAACCTGCGAATCAAACACGTTGTAAACGTAGATGAAGATAAACAAGTGACTCAAATTCAATTCTTGGAGTAATCGATTTGTCTATCTAAGCAAAAAGAATACTTAAGTTATACTGTACGTGTCATTATACAAGCCTTAGCATTTCATCTATTTCGATTTTGTATATGGCATCATATATACTCAAAAAAAGACATGCAACATCGTGAAAAATGAGCTTCAAAAAAGACAGTATAACATTGTGAAAATGAGCTTCAAAACCTATCTGATGTGGTCTCGCGCAGCTCAAGCTACTTATAATCGGTGGCGGAGCTTGGGCTAAAATGGAGGGGCCAAACATCAAACAAAATGACAGTGTATTATTTTATATATTATAATAACAAGCTCATATACTAAGGTATAAACCTAACGGTGAATCACCTATTGGTAGGACGGCAGAAGGTAGGCCACACCCAATCTACCATATTCTTTATTTTTGTATACCGAATCTGTTCTCCCGTGCAATCATGTCACTTGTTACTGTATTATGCTATTTTCCCCTCTCTTCCGTGCTTATGTACGCGTCTCCTCCCTACCCACTTGGTACTTTTTTTTAATTTCACGCCAGTCTCATCGGTTCGCTCGTCTTAGACGCGCTTGCCCCTCCCTAAAGCTGCCGCTCCTTGCTTGGCGCTGCCGCCACTCCTTCCTCAATGCCGCCTCTACATTCTCCAACGCGCTGCGCCTGCTCGACCCCTACCAGCGCTGCCGCCGTTCCTTCCTCGGCGCCGCCTCTACATCTCTCTCCAACGCGCTGCGCCTGCTTGACCCCTACCAGTGCCGCCACCTTGGCTCCGCCCCTCCCAGCGGCGGCGCCCTCGCGAGCGCATCCTCCTCGATGGCACCTAATCGGAGACTTCACGATCCATATGTTATCTACTCTGTCTTCTATTTTTTCATTGGATTTGTGATTTTTCGCTTCTTTTGACTTGACTCGTGCCCCTAGTAGGGTTAAGATTTTAGGCCAAAGTTAGGGAAGAGTAGACTGTTACTGTCACATGACTAGAACTCGTATTGGTCTACACTAAGCTCCGTCCTGCTTGTAATAGTAGCTGAAAAACGTGAAACCGGAGCCCATTGTCCACCGAACTGGGGACCGGCAATCTAGAATCAGCCAGGATCTGGCCTAGGGCTACGTGCTGGTTCACGGCTCAGGCTCGCGGGTAAATAACCATTTCTTTAACCAACTTGCTCCTTGTTCTGACTTCAGAGTTCAACCGTTCAGTTTAGCAGGAGAGAGAATGATTAATAAACGGAAGGGAAAGTCAGATGGGCAGATGGCTGGATGATTTGCCGACTTACCACACAAAGCTCATCTAGTACCTGTACCTCTGTGTCTTTGTCTCTCTGTCTCTCTGGCAGACTGGCCGTGTCTCCCCAGGTCTCCCCAGTCCTCACCGGCGAGGGAACGCGCCGCGGGTTCTTGGGCGCCGGCATTGAGGCCGGCAGCGCGCCAGTATCAGGTGAGTTGTCAGTTCTTGGTTCTTGGGGTCGGGTGCTGAGGATCTAAGCTTCAACGCTGTGGTCGACAAGACTGTAGCGATGTGCGTCGGCATTCGCCCTTTCGGGCGCTGCTGGGTTTGGCGACTTCCGTAAATGAGGTTTCAGGTGATCTATTGATCTGGATTGGTTGTCTCATTCGAGCGGATTGCTTGATGATCTTATTTATAAAATCTTGGGAATGTTTGAGGTGGAGTCCGTACGGTGGCTTGCCTCTGCAAAAATAAACGTCAGGGGGGCATCTTTCTGAAATTTCTTCACCAACTTTTATTACATTGCCCTTGTGTGTGCAACCCTGTTGCACTGATTAGCTAAATTCTTGATTGGCGCCTCCGCGCCTAGTCTAGTTTAGGTGGGTTGGATCTGTGAATGCAGTTTGACATCGGTAGATTGGTTACTACTTTCACTTTCTTTGTTTATGTAATACTTCTTCCATTTTGCATCCCAAAGGAAGCGAAATGCCCTGTCTTTGTATAAAGGAGGAAAAGTACCGTGCGAATGGCTGGGTATCTACGGTGGGTGGATAGGAATGTTGTTACTTCACTGTTTTGACTAGGAATTGTCAAATATGGACTATCTAATTTAGTTTTATTTCGCAATCAAACACTAACATAAAGGAAGTGGAAATTTTTCATACTGTTTTTTTATGAGTTTAAGGGCCCATGCCCCGGCCTTTCAATTAACATCAAAAGACCAACAGAGTCGTTTACAGCGCAAGGATTGCCAAATTTGTCCACCTGGACTTTACAGTTCATCCAGAAAGAAGCAGGAAACGCTACCAACGCTAAGATAGCACAGGACCAAAGAAATTAAGCGCCTAGAGCAAAGCTTCAACCACAGCCTTCCACCAGAATTTTTCATACTGTCATGAGAAGAACACAGAAAGTTCATGAAAATATCAACTTTTGGTGAAAATAAGAATGCACTATTTTGTTTTCTGTAAAATCAAGTAGACCTTATCTATTTTCTCAGTGTAAAACTGGTGGTGTGCAAAGAATATGTCTGCCAGTTGTGCCAATGCTTACTTTTGTTGTTATTAAAGCTCATGTCAACACAGGTTGTTCTCTGTTTTTTTTAAGTTACATCAACCTGGTTCTGTTTTCATGTGATTTCAGGACTATATATTCCCTTACCCCACGAGACACGTTTTATATTAGCTTAGCAAGTTTACCGTTTAACTCCAGAATAAACACTAATTGATTTAACAGTGCTAATAATGTGATAGGTAGAGTCAAATCTGCACATGGGTGCATCAGGTCTCTTATTTATATACATAATTAAGTGTTTTTCACAGTGAACGTGTACCAGTAAGTGGGCCTATCTATGATTACACAATAATGATCACGAGGGACCATTGGGTTGTTACATTGAGACTGATTAATTGTATGCTATCATCTCTGTTACTTTCCTTATGCCCCTCTGTCTATTTCTCAGGAGCTTTTTTTTTTCTCGAACACGCAGGAGAACCGCGTATCATTATATTAAGAAGAATAAAGGAGTGGGTTTAGAAACCCCATACAGCCACACATACACACACCCTTTTACATCTAATGTTGTACCTCTCTCTCAAATTTCAAACTTGACCCAAGACCACTTATTTCTCAGGTGCTCAGAGGTCATTCAATTCTGGGGGCATCAACTATATTCAATTTAAAAAAAAAATGGCCTCCTGTTTTATGTGTGGGACAGGCATGAAACAAAATACTGAAAATGAAGGTGAGCATTTTTGTATAATACATCTGAATTATAAAATCTTCTGTCTAGAAAAGAAAAATTCCTGATACATTTACATTTATGTTCTGGCTCTGCCAGGAGGAAGCAAGGTGAAGATTTTTTCCTATCGTGAGATGAGGAATGCTACACATGATTTTAGTGGGGCAAATAAGATTGGTGAGGGCGGTTTTGGCTCTGTTTTCAGGGTAATTTTCATAGTTGGCCACTTCAATCAGGTTTAATGTCTATTGTATCGAATTGTCTTATTTAAGCTTTACCCTATTTGATCAGGGAAAGCTTAAAGATGGAACAATTGTCGCGGTGAAGGTCCTTTCTGTTAGTTCAAGGCAGGGTATCCGAGAGTTTGTAACTGAACTTACAGCAATTTCAGATATTGTACATGAAAACCTAATTACCTTGGTTGGTTGCTGTGCCGAAGGGTCTCATAGGATTCTTGTGTACAATTATCTTGAGAACAATAGTCTTTCATATACACTTATAGGTGACATTTACCAACTTTATTCCTTTAACAAGTCAATTTTCTAGTAGCTATGTGATATGTGTACTCATATGGTATTGCAGGTTCAGGCCAGAGCAACATCCGATTCAATTGGAGAGCCCGTGTCAAAATTGCTGTAGGTGTTGCTCGTGGGCTTGCTTATCTTCACAAGGAAATTCGCCCCCCTATAATTCATCGAGATATAAAGGCAAAGCAATATTCTTCTTGACAAGGATCTTACCCCAAAGATTTCTGATTTTGGGTTGGCAAGGCTCCTCCCGCCCAATGCAACTCATGTGAGCACTAAGGTTGCAGGAACAATGTAAGCATAACCTTGCTTTGGATGTTTGAATGAATTATTGTGTACAATATATTTAGTTCTTATCTGCATTGTTTTTTTTGTTCCTTTTCAGAGGATACCTGGCTCTTGAATATGCTGTCAGGGGACAAGTGACAAAGAAATCAGATATCTATAGTTTTGGTGTTGTGCTACTGGAAATTGTTACTGGTAGATGTAACCACAATAGTAGATTGCCTCATGGAGATCAATTTCTGCTTGAGAGGGTAAGCGCTGTCATACTTTGTAAGCCTACGCTTCAGTTTGAGGTTCTCAGTTTAGTTAGCTTTCCAATGCTGAAGTTATCATTTAGGGCCTGCTTGGAACACAGGGATTTTATGACTTCCACAGGATATAGATTAACCAGACCTAATATTGTTTAGTATTTGGTATTTGATGAATTAACTGTAACTATTGTATTTATAGTCTGTCATTTATATTCGGTCAGCTACCAAACATCTTTTGTAGCTAAACCTAAAGAGTCATATGGTTGTAGCTCGCCTTGTCATGTATCCAAATTAAGTAAAATACACCTTCAAAATGAATGACGTTCCAAGTACAAACACTCAAGATATTTTTTTTTTCTCTGTGGTCAAGCTCACTTAGCTGGGTGTTCCTGAATTTGAAAGTTTTGTGGGTGCTCTTGCAGACATGGACATACTATGAGCAAAGAAAACTAGAGGAGATCATAGATGCTGAAGTAGGGGAGGACCTGAACGTTGAAGAGGCATGCCGTTTCTTGAAGGTTGGTCTACTATGCACCCAAGACGCGATGAAACTGCGTCCAAACATGGCCAACATTGTCCTAATGCTGACAGGAGAGAAGGAAGTCTCCATGGACAGGGTCACCAAACCAGCCGTGATCGGTGACCCATACCTCAATGGAAACAACGATCAGAGACCAAGCAATGCAGACTCTACCACATTGAGATCCTTTGCCACGACAGAACCTTTAACATCATCAGAAGCAAACACAGAGTGGTCTCTGTGATAAAAAAAACTTGTATACAAAAAATATCGTAGATTAAAGGGGGAGAGAGATAAAAAAAAACTTGTATACAAAAGATATCGTAGATTAAAGGGGGAGAGAGAGATGGAGAATTATTTTTGTGGATGCTGCGATGCTAAAAAATACTGCATCGCTTCTGTTGATTATGTTCGTATACGATTGTGGATTATAAGCTGGAACAGTATTTTTCTCTCACATCAAACCAGCCAGCAGTAAATAATCCACGATCGTTTACGGCCTGCCGAATAGGCTGTCAATATGCTTTACTCATCTGTGTTAGTAGTACATATATTGAATCATTAGGGTTTCTACCATATTCAGTTTTTCCAGAATCTGTCTTTTATCTTTTCAGTCTGATCACCTTGAATTCTTGCAAAAATGGTAGCAGTGCCAGTTTATCAAAGTGATCTGGACTAACTTTACCACTCTGGATAGTACGGATTACTACCTTTGCGCCTGGATTCGCATGTCTTGTGCCTTCCAGCAAGTGCCATTCAGAAGACGAAATTTACCTATGAAACACGTATGGATTCATAGAAAAGTTTGAACTGAACGTGAGAACATCTCAATGCAAAGAGTGAAAGGAAGGTGAGAGTGCATCAGAACTTAGAGCCTGAAAATTTAGCAACTCCCAGAGTTTCTTCACACCTCATTACAATGTAAATATTTGTCTTTCACTGATTATCTGAAGTTTATGAGGTGCATATCCATCCCTTAAACCTGATTGTGGTAAGAATAAGAATAAGAAACCTGAAATTTATCTCAGCAAAAACCCGTACAAGACTATTCATAGCGTTTTTTTGGGGGAAAAGGGGCTATTTAGTGTGTGTACTTGGAGAATCCATACCTTGCAGCGACTTGGTAGCAAAATATCATTTATTCACGTTCATCTGCACATAGAAACATATTTGGAGAATAGAGAAATAGGAACAACCGAACAAGATATAAGGACACGGTTCCTTCATTAGCAATCCTATGTACAAATACTACGCCAAGCCATTAGTCCAATAATGAATAATCTACGCCCTGTTCATTTGGGCTTATTTGGCTTATAAGCCGTACTTTTTCAGCCAACGAACAGTATTTTTCTCTCACACCAAATCAGCCAACAGTACTTTCAGCCATGACTTATCTGCATGTCACACTACTAGTCAAATTTAATCTGCATGTACACTCAGTACTAACACTCCAGACCTCCAGTAGGACAGCATTTCACAACCACTATCCAGCAAACAACACAGATCTATCTCATATCCCAAGGGGGTGCCACATCTGTAACATGCCATTTTCCTGGTTCCAGTTGCAATTTGGAGTTAGCTCCAGTACTGAACTAGTACTGTTGTTTGAGACACTGCTCATCACTGTCCTGATGGATTCCTTCTCGGAGGTGTCGAACGCCAAAAGGTCCTCAAGGCTCACTGGTCTCTTGAACGGCAGCGCCGGCAGACCGGAGAAGCAGGACACCTGCTCTGAAACCGTTGGAGCGGCACCGTAGTTGGTGTAGGTGTCAGCGAGGGGTGCAAGGGGCAGGGCAGCCGGCAGTTCTGGCCAAGCCGATGGGGTGCCGTCCTGGGCATCTTCAGAAGCTGGCCTTGGGGTGGTTGTTCTGCTCTTGTAGAACACCCTGCATAGCACCCAGTCCTCCTGAATTTTGCAGAGATATGTTATGTTATAGTCCATATAGAAATTGCAAGTGATATATGGCTGGAAATATGAGGCCTCTCCTTATCCTAGGTAGGGCAAGAATATTCTGAATTCTGATAGGCTGATTCAGTAGACTGATGTCATACATAATGTTGATGCAATGCAACTAACATAACCACCCTATGTAACAAGTTGCATTGAATAGTTTCATTTTCTGGAGTTGGTTACTTGTTGAGGAATAAGCAATCATACAAATGTTTGGTAATTTGAAGTAAAGAATTAGTGAACTGGAGAGTCATCACATCCTTTTCAAGGGAATGTTCAGTACAATAATTTACTCTACTATGTGATGTTGGTGGCACTGACATAACATCATTTACAACAAGCTACTTGAAGGACTTTGTCTTGGAAGTTTGTAACTTGAGGAAATTAGCAAAACTACAGACCTGACTGTTGAATTGGCACCATGAGTAAAAGAAGAATTAGTCATACAAAGAGTCAAATAAATCGTTTTCAAGGGAATGTTCAGTACATTAATTTACTCCATTCACTGTGGCTCATCTGATGGAATCAGTTGAACAACTTTGGATTGGACCATTGCAGTGACGTAGGCATGAATCGACTGAAAGATAGTAATGGATAGGGAGACTAGACCATGAATAATGGCACCGTGCATATACAATAATTGGGGTGGGCAACTTGCAGGTAGTTTTGTCATGGGAGAATGTTGAATGAGACCTACTACATGCTTGGATAGAGCCAAAGAGTAAGAGCTTGCCCAAAACAACTTCGGAGACCATTTTCTGTAGTCCAAGTACTGTAAAAATCCTCAAACAGCAAACATCTCACTGCTATTTTTTTTGTACTAAATTAAAAAAAAAACACCACTACTCGACTTTAAGGTTTGTGACAGCTTTATGGTACAGTCCTTGGAAAAAAGAAAACATGATCCAAGAATATATGCAGATCTAGGTTACCTTCGTTGCCGCAGCTGGTAGGCACGGCGCGGCGTGTGGGTGGAGGCGGAACTCGTGCATGACCCACTCCGTCTTCCTCCCCTTGGGCGCTCGGCCCCGGTAGAACACCAGCGTCTTGCGCATCCCCACCACTGCCGCCGACGCATCGTTGCCACCGCCGGCGACGACGGCGCGGTCCTTGCCGGTGGCCTTCCAGTAGCCGCAGCGCGTGGCGCGGTTGGTGCGCTGCCCCGTCGCGTACTTGCGATCGCGCAGGTTGAAGAAGTACCACTCCTTCCCACCCACGCACGCAGATTCTGTATATAATCAATTAGAGAAAAAGATGTGAAGCTCCACAGATGGTTTCGTGGTGTAGTTGGTTATCACGTCAGTCTAACACACTGAAGGTCTCCGGTTCGAACCCGGGCGAAGCCAAACTTTTTTGCTCATTTTTTTCCTTTTGCAGAACTACTGAATTAGTGTTTTGTTTTTTTTTTTTTGCAGAACTACTGGTATTGTTGCTGAATTAGTTTTTTGTTCTTTTTTTTTTTTGCAGAACTACTGGTATTGTTAATTTCTGCAATCAATTAGATTTAATTTGCTGATACTGGATGTACGGAGCATGAGAAGAGAAGAAAAAAAATTACTGGATCGTTGAGTAGCTATCAGTATAACTAGCTAGTGTAAGTACGTACAGACCTGGAAGGTCCCATGGCTCGCGCTTGTTGAGGTCGACGTCGACGATGGCAGCGCCGCCGCGATGGCCATGGCCGGAGAGCTTGTGGAGGAGGTAGTCCAGCACGAGCTCGTCATCCCTGGGGTGGAACCTGAACCCCGGAGGCATTCTTGCCTCCATCATGCTGATCGACGAGCTCATCTTCTACTACCTATCTTTCAGAGAGAGACAAACTGAGAGGTTTTGAAGGCCAGCTGCAGGGCAATAATGGGAATGAAGCACCTCATGATTCATGAAGCAGTGGGATGTGGTATAAATAGGGTGCACAAGTCAACCATGCAACTTGCCAGTTTCTACTCCCATATGCTCGAGTATATTGATCATTGCCTGTTAAACGATGGTGGATTATTACTGCTAGCTGGTTTGGTGTGAAAAAAAAATACTGTTATCGCTTATAATCCACGATCGTTTACGACCAAGCTAACAGACTGCTTATATGTATATAGGTTCTATGGGGTGCAAGAGGCTAGCTAAGCTTGTGGTTTCAAAATGGTGCTAACCAGCTAGAGTAGTAATAGGTCAATTCAAGCGCCACATACATGCCCACATCAATCCAGGTACTCCCAACTCTCTCCTTCCATTTTGTTCTGCTATTTTTTTTCTTGCAGCTGATTTAACTAAACTCCTACAGTACATCCTAACTGTCCACTAAACAACAACAACAACATTATTAAATAAGTCTATCTCTTTCTCTTTTTCTTTTATGCAAGAGACCTAGACAGTGACTCCTATATATAAACGAACGTCCGTAATAACCCTAAATGAATAGGGCCGTTTGTTATGAAAATAAATTTAGAAAAAAATGGGAGTACACATGTTAGGTCTAGGACTTACGTCCTAGATATATAGATACTCTTTCTGTCCTAAAAAATGTAATCACATTTAAAGACAAAATTAGCATATAACAAAAAAGACACATGTATCCTACTCGTTTTATTCTCCACATGCATGTGTTGATGAGACAAAAGCAAATGATTAAAGCTATAAACTTTATTCCATCATCCATCTATAGAGCACACTTTTTTTAGGATATATCACACCTACTCACAAGACTAGAGTTGCATTCTATGGACAACACATAAGTCCTAGAATTGCATTTTTTTTACGATGGTGGGAGTACGTTCTCCATAAAACGATCAACTAAATAAGCTACACTTATTTAGCAAATAAAGCCTCTCCTTATTATTGTTACCTTGGTCCTATCACAGATGGTTAGCCTTGTGATATTAAACTATAGCTGTTATTATTACCTTAATTCATCCTATTCCTCTCACATGTGGTTAGCTTTATGGTAGGAAATTGTACTCTCTTTTTATTTTTACCTTTGTCAAGATTAGGTAATTGTACATGTACCGAGTATATAGTTATATGCTCACACCTGCATGAAAAAAAAGTTGTGAAATAATAAATTATCACAGTCACTAAGGCCCATGTTTGGTTTCTAGGAATTCAAAAGTAATCTAATAATAGATATGGTTTCAATTCATCTTCGTCCAATATTTTAGTGTTTGGATTATGTTTTGAAATCCACATTTGGAAAAGGCAGCTGTGGTGTGTATATGTCCGTAAGGGCATAGGAGTAATAACTGACGGAAAGTGTTTTTTTTAAAGACGGCCATAGGGGCGTCGTATTGTAGAATTGATGAAGTTATCATATATAGGTACTTCCTCCGTCCCAAATTATAAGTTATTCTAACTTTTTTGAAGAGTCAAAACATCTCGAGTTTGACCAAAATTATAGAGATAATTATAAAAATTTATGACATCAAATAGGTATACTATGAAAATATAATTAATAAAGAATCTATTGACACTTATTTGATATCATAAATGTTATTATTTTATTATATAAATTTGGTCAAAGTTGAGATGCTTTGATTCTCCAAAAAAATTAGAAAGACTTTATAATTTCGGATGGAGGGAGTAGTATATAAGACTTTTTAACTACTGTCATCAAGTCACACAAATAACAAATATACAAATATCCAAAGCCAGAGGAATGTGACTGCCGGTAGATTATACATGCGCAGAGGATTCCTCACGACATGTCCACGTGCAAACAAATGGGCAAAATTTCATTGTGCCCAAAGTGATGAAGATGCCAAGTCTTTTCTAGTAACTAGTAGTCGAAACATATATACTACCTAAACACAAGCGTTTGCTGGTCCTTTTGCCGACACAGAAACAACAAAGTTGGAGAGTTATATACCCAAAAAGTGAAGATGCTCAACTTTTTCAGTCATAAGGATATTTTGCAACATTAAGAGAATTCCAATTCTTGGCACTAGCTAGCATCAATTGAAGCTAGCTGGTTAAATACACCATGAACAAAATGGCGTACTAATACACATTCCTCCTAAAATAAATGGCTAATTAGGTTACATGCATATTTATACCCCGTAGAGAAAAAGAAGATAGGCACACATGGTTATTGTGGGAAGCATGCTGTGGTGAACAGTATGATGATATTTAGTTTCTTCCTCTTGGCTGTACAATTATCGGGTCAGTTTTGTTCACATAAAAACTCAGATGGTCGCGGGACCAACAGAAGGATATATATGGCAAATAATCAACGGTAACAATTAATTGGCATAGGGTTCGGACGTCACAGTTGTGCAAAAGATAGTGAAAGGGACTCTTCTGCTTTAATGAGTGGTGGAGCTTTGCTTGCTAGGTTTATTTTTGAAGGTTAAAGCTTTAATTTGCAATGTTCTCTCTTTTTCTTTCTTTTTTTTGTAATGGTGAAAATGGCACAAATACTGAATTATGTAGATGAAGCAGCAGCTTCTTTATTTTTGCGATAAGATGTCTCAGTTAGATTTAACCTAGCTATATAGCTAGTGAAACTGATTAATCCATTGTTGATCATACTGCCACATATATCACACAATTGGCGGATTGGCATGTGTTGACAATGGATAGATGTAATACAGAAAAAAAAAACATAACAAAGCAATTGAAACTTTCCATATATGTGCCAATACGCCTGCTGAAAGAGAGGCATCACTAGCTGACAAGTCACAACATGCATGCACATCACATATAAAATATTTATTTATTTCCTAGCTTTCAAGATAGAGAGTGTGCTCTGAAGGCTACAGTAACTTGTTCGTTTTTATTTGGTAATAATTATCTAAATATTGACTAATTAGGCTCAAAACGTTCGTCTCGTAAAGTACAACCAAATTGTACAATTAGTTTTTTATTTCGTCAACATTTAATACTCCATACATGTACCACAAGTTTAATATGATGAAATCTTCTTTTTATATAATATCAAAGTTAGTATTTTGGAAGAACTAAACAGGGCCGAAATCTTATCTGCACAGGCTTGACGACGATATGATTGGCCATCCGAAACTGACCGCCGGCATAGTCACAAGCGACGTTAACCCGGTGGGAGCAGCTTCACGTGGCCTCTCACGTGCCACAGCCCACGTGTCCACGGCCATGGCCGTGCGATCCGAGATGAACGGTCTGGAAATCGCAAGGGAGTCACCGTCTAGGGGCCATTGAATGCTGCCTGCCCTTATGGACAGAATGCCCAGCTTTTATCCGAAGCAACTTATACCTCCTATTCCTATTGGCTCGCCTATTATTGGCTGCACTTACACGTGAGATGAGATGCTATATATGGCCTCGTTTAGATCGTAAGTTTTTTTCTTTTTTTTTCATCACATCAAATCTTTGACATATGTATGAAGTATTAAATGTAGATAAATAAATAACTAATTACACAGTTTGATTGTAAATTACGAGACGAATTTTTTGAGCCTAGTTAGGCCATGATTAGACAATAATTATCAAATATAAACAAAAGTGCTACAGTGCCAAATATTGATTCCTAATCCCAATCTAAACAAGGCGTATGTACTGTACAGTGTATGATAGAGATTGAGAAATCGAACAAGGATGCTACGCTACTGTGATGTTGCGGCGCTCATCTTTCACAAGTGGAAATGAGTGGTCATAGTCTAGGGCATTTATATAAAGTAAATTATGACCTACCTCATGTAGATTTATCTGGATGGGACAATGTCTTGGTGGCGGGGCATTTGTCCACTACCAGTACTCTTATAGCAACCTCAGCAAAGCCTCCAAATAAATTCCTATTTTTTATTTGAGAGCTTTTTCTATGTTTATTAAGGGTCCTACTTTTCAGATCCAACTCCAATAATATCCTTCAAATTTGAATCTCTACTTTTTTATGACCCATTTGTACGTGATTCACATAACTCGCGCGCCATCCTTGAGTCCATGTGTGTAACATCCTAAAATTTGTACTTTTGAAAATAGGATTAAAATAATTTATTTATGAATTTTTGTGCACATGAAATATAGGAAAAAGAATATTTTTCATTATATTAAAATTCATCATAAGGAGTAGCAACATGGATGTGCATACATGCCGGTGCATTTGATTTATTGCAATGAGTGGTTGAATCCAAAATTCAAAATGAATTCAAATCGCTTTTGAAAATAAGTTTGAAAAGAACTCTGAAATAAAAGAAAAGAAAAGAAAAGAAAAAGAAAATTTGAAAATAAAAGAATAAGTTGTAAAGTTTATTTTGGAAAACTTACCAAAATTGCTCATTTTTATTTGAGTTGAAAAGTATATTTGGAACTCTATTCGAATTTGATTTGGTTTATAATTGAATTTGGTTTTGAAAACAAAATAGAAAAGGATTTGGAAAATGGAAAATCCTCTCTCTTCTCTTCTGGCCCGTGGCCCATCGTCTTCTTCCCGCTTGGCCCAAGCCGCGCACCGGCCCAATCCCTCAACCGGCCTGCTTAGCCCGACTCTCTCCCTTACCCCTCTCTCTCTCGCGGCCCAGCTCACTCGGCCCACACCGGCGCATAGCCCCACGCCCGAAGCCACGCACCCGCTCCCTCTCTCGCTGACCGGTGGACCCGCTCTGTCGGCACCATCTTCTTCGTCGTGCGTGTCCGCCCCGGACTCCGCCGCGCCTCCGTTTGCTCCGCGCCGCTCACGCCTCCTCCTATTGCCTTGCGTCCCAAGTCACTTCCGACCATAAATACCAAAGCCGCGTCGCCTCATATTCCGAGCCTCGAAGCCGCAGCCGCCTCGCCGAGTCGCCAAATCGCTGTGCCGAGCCGCAACCCTAGCACCATCGTTCACCGTCGCCTCGCCAAGCACAACGCCGCCTCCGTTCGCTCCGCGTCTCGGTAAGATGCTTGGTTGGATTCGCCGTTTCCTTCTCTATCTTCCGGTGCCTTTCTTTAGCGCAGCCGAGGCTAGTAGTTTTTTTCGTTTTCCCCCGCGAGCTCCTCACCGCCGAGGCATGGACCACCGCGCCGGGCTCTCTGCTCTGGGCGACAATCTTGCCCAAACCACCGTAGCCGTCCCTGTTCCGATCAACGCTCAAGATTAGATCGTGTTCATTCATACCCCTTCGGTCCACCGCGAACCGTGGACGGAGTCCACCGCCGTTGGTCCATGCCATAGTGCACGCGGACCACCGCCACCAGCCAGTCGCTGCGCGCCACGTAGCCGCTGACTTGGTCAGCGCCGGCAGCCCCACGTCGTTTTGCAAAAAGGTCCTTCGGTTATTGGAAAATCAACCCTCCATTCTTTTGTATTAAAAATAAAGTAGTTTTAGCAGTTTTCTTTTGGAAACCCCCGTGAGCTTTCAACTAATAGGAGCCGCTGTCCAGATCTCGTTTAAAACCATATTTCATTTATTTTATTTCAAAATGAGGTCCAGAAATTTACATCAATGCCATTGAACCTTATTTAAATCATATCTTTCACATTTTAGCTCTGATTTGACCCATTCAAGTTGCGTTAGATTTGTAATGACATAATCAACGCATTAGTATCAATGTTTTCCATGTCAAGAGATCTAAAATTTCATGGTTTAAATCCTAACTTGAATAATGATTATGCGATTGGATTTTTCTAATTAAAAGTAACTTAGGCTTTTCGCCTTGGTCAATTATACGATTAGTTTTACCTTGTTTTTCTAAATCAAGTATAATTTGTCTTAACTCAATTAAGGTATTTCTTTGAAGTATCTTATACATGTTTTATATAGCTAAAATAAATAAAGTCTATAGTTTCTTTTCGAAGTAAATCTATCGGTAGATGTATCTTTTTCATCCTAGCTCCGATTAGCGTGCTTTTCGCGTCTATGTGATCGTAGCAATACGTAGATTTGATTTCAAATTTTTTAACTGATTGATGTATTGTTCTAATATAGTTATGTTTGAATGCTATGCATGTTTGTTCGGATGCTAGTGTGGTGTTTAATGATCTTGTCCAGTCGGTGAGTTTTACGTGGTGATTAAGAGGAAGTCCTTTGAAGGTTACAATTTAATAGAAGAAGGATCTGAGTTTAAGGCAAATATAGCATGGGATATTCCTTGTTGTTCTATACACCTTTAATCATTTAATTCATGCTGCATGTGTTTACCTTGATTACCATTAAGGATTCCCTAGTACTTTGTACCTTGTTCCTTGACACCTTTGGGTTATTGCATTGGGTAGTATGATGCTAGTGCTCAACTACAACCATGATCTTGTAACTTGACTAATAGAATATGCAATAAACATTAAAAGATGCTTTTTAGCAACATAGAACAAGGGGACTAGAGCATTAGGCTGTTTTATGGAGCTCTAGATTCCTCTCCCTAAGAACTTATCTGTAAGTGATCATCCGGGACTTACAGTATAACTATGAGGGCTATATGGCTCTGACTTTAGCTCAGTATGAGGAATCTTTTCTAGCTTATTAGTGGTTACCTTTATTGGCGTAAGAATGACTTGCCGAATCGGGTATAGTGCGGCCTCTGTCCCATTGTGTATAGGCTACACGTCATTATGCTATCGGGAAGGGGGCTCTACATCTATTTGTCGAATGAATCTAATGGCCCTAACTTGTTAGGCGAACCTTTAAAAGGCTTTATAGTGAACCCTATCTGCTCACCTTAGAAGTGTTTTAGAAGTAATTAACCTGGGCATATGGGTATCACGACTCACAGTGAAAGTGTACAACCTCTGTAGAGTATAAAACTGGTATATTAGTCGTGCTCATGGTCATAATGGTAAATGATGATGATCATAATGGTAAATGATGATGATACTGATGATGAAGACACATCATAAAAGCACAAGTTCTTTCTATAGTTAAGCAAAGTCAAATGTTTTGGAACGCGATATAACCCAAACAAATGCAGAAGACACATAACAAATGCATAAATTATTTCTGTAGTTAAGCAAAGCCAAATATTTTGTTATGTGATGTGTAATACATACAAATGCACAAATTATTTCTATAATTAAGGAAAGCCAAATATTTTGTTATGTGATGTGTAACACATACAAATGCAGAAGACACATCATAAATGCACCAATTATTTCTATAGTTAGGCAAATCCAAATATTTGAGTATCTAATGTAATCGAAACAAAACGCAGAAGACACATCACAAATGTATAAATTATTTGTATAGTTAAGCAAAGTTAACTGTTTTGATACATGATGTAAGACAAATGCAGAAAAGACATCACAAATAAACAAATTGTTTCTATACTTAAGCAAACCAAATGTTTTAGCATTTGATATAATCGTGACAAATGCAAAAGACACATCATGAATGCATAAATTATTCATACACTTAAGCAAAGCCAAATGCTTTGGTACATGTGTAACATAGACAAATGCATAAGACATATTACAAGTGCACAAATATTTATGTAGTTTAGCAAAGCCAAATATTTTGACATATGGTGTAACCCAAACAAATGTAGAAGACACATATGAAATCCACAAATTATTTCTATAGTTACGAAAAGCCAAATGTTTTTATATGTGATGTAAGTATGCAACCCAAACAAATGCAGAAAGACACACCTCAAATGTAGAAATTATTTCTATATTTGAACGAAGCTAAATGTTTTTGGTACATGATTAACTAAGACAAATGTAGAAGACACATCACAAATGCACAAATTATTTCTATAGCTAAGTAAAGCCAAATGTTTTTTATATGATGTAAGACACATGAGAAATGCATAAATTATTTCTATAATGAAATGAAGTCAAATATTTTTTATATATGATATATCCCACATAAATACAATCATATCTCATGGAATAAAAAATAAAATAAAATATTAGAGTAAAATGAAAAGGAGGAATTTTTTTAAAAATAAAATAAAAATGAAAAAAAGAAAATCCACAGAAAACATAAAAGAAAAGAGAGAGAGAGAGAAAAATAGAAGAAAAGATAGAAAAACGAAAAAGAATAAAACATGAAAACAAAGAAAATGATTAATTATTTTCTTTATGCCTCCCAAAAACACCGTTTATTTGAGCTGCTCCAATCCATATTGGTTCACGTCAGATGTGCCTTCGCGGATGACAACCATCTCGTCACCTACAACCTGTAATGTCTATCCATTGGGCCAGGAGAAGAGAACAAAAGTAATAATAAATAAAGGCCCAAACCATCACCTGCAGCCAAAGCCCATATCATCGGACGCGGAAGAAGTGGTCGGCGCCGTTAGCCCGACTACGACTGGAAGACTTGCACGCAAAACTTGCGTTTGCATGAGGTGTCCCATCCATGCCCCTTCTCCCCTCAAACCCTCACAATCCTACCAGTCCGCTAGCCATGCCTTCCCGCGGCCTCGGCGGGCGCGCGCGCACCCGCCAGAGAGAGGCAGCGACGACGACGGACTGGGCGGGCGGCCAGGGAACGGACGTGCTCCTGGCGATCTTCCACCGCCTTGACCACATCGACATCCTGATGTCCGCGGACCACGTGTGCCACTCCTGGCGCCGCGCCGCGCGGGAGGAGCCCTCGCTGTGGCGCCGCATCACCATGCGCGGGCACGAGGGCATCGCGGCAGGCTCAACCGCGGCGGCATGGCCTGCGAGGCCCTGCGGCGCAGCGCGGGCCACTGCGAGGCCTTCTGCGGGCAGTACGCCGGGGACGACGGCTTCCTTATGTACCTCGTTGAGCAGTGAGAATGAGAATCGTCCCCCTGTTGAGAAAATTTATTTACTGCTTGATCGATATTGCACTTCTTCGTTTGATTCGGTTGCTAGCTGTCTCGTTGCTTGCCGACTAGCTGCATGTTGTTTTGATTGTAATTTTTGATAAGTCTATTCATCTCGTCCATCACTTTTTTTGATATGTCTATTCTTTCTAGACATGTCTGATCCGGTTGTCCAAATTAGCCAGCTTTCTATCTTTTCAGATTTGTGACTTAGGCCAATAATGTTATTGTATCAGCTAGGAATGGTTCTAAATTTAAAAATCTACAAAGAATGTCTGTTGCAGGTCTATTTCAGAGTATGTCAGACTTATTTGTGCTGTGGTCACAAATTTTGCAGGGCGGATTCATACAGATCCAGGGCCGTACACACTGATCATGTGTCTGTATTCTGTAATATGTTTTTGCAAAATTGAAAAGACCGCTCCTAGATACAACTACACCTTTAAGCATTGTTTGTAGTTTTCGTCCAGCCTTTCCACCTTTTTTTCATTAATTGTCATCAAAGATGCCAACTATCAAATGTCGTTTCTACCTATCCCTAGTATATACACTTTCAAGGTTGAACGGGCAATAAAAAGATGTACCTCATAACATACCACCCTAGAGTATAGCAATATTCAACTTCATTATATGATTTATTTATGTGCTACAAAGCACAATAGCTTCAGAAGAGAAGGTGGATTATGGGGACATATCCAAAAACTAGACATATCTGTATGTTTGTTAAACTCTTACAGTAATCCTGGCGACTTTGTTACATTCACATGTTAGTTATGTTTACGGCTTGAGTGGTATACTAAGTCTAGTTATTTTTACTGCTTGAGTGGTATACTAAGTCTGTCCTCAGCAGTAACAACTGCAAAGTTTATTGTCATAAGCTTATGACAGTCCCTGAAACTTTTGAAGCAAAAATGCACTGCTATAGCAAGATTTGAAAAAGTATCTTTGAATTCTGGAATGGGTACATGCTTCAGAGTTATGTTTGTAATTAATTTCTACACTGAAGCTAACTGAAAATTTGTTTATCTTGTATCCTGACATGTAAATTCTGAGTTAGGCTTATAGTTCATCCATTACCAAAAAATCACTGGCTCGATGAAACTGCTGTAGGCTTATAGCACATATTGGCATAGTCCCAAAATATAGTCAAGTGTCATCACTGCAATGTTTTCTCATACCAGGACACTATATGATTGTTTATATTATAGAAAAAAGGTCATCCTATTCCTATATAGAATATACCATGTGTTCATCCAAAGGAATACATGCATATCTAAACTTATTTTCGTTTTGACAGAAGTTTAGTAGTGCTGAACAACTTTTATCTGAATACTTTGTGGTGCCATTGGATCGTTGATTCTTAATCTTAAGGCATTGTGCTAATTTTGCAGGGCCCCTTGTCTGAAGAGCCTTCGCCTTATTTCCTGCAACCTTGTCTCAAATGAAGGACTTACGGAGGCTGTGAAAGGGCTCCCTCTGCTTGAGGAGCTCGAGCTCTCGCTATGACCTAACGTTGGTGGTTTTTTTGTGAGCGATGACGTTTGTGGTTATGAGGTGTACAAGTTTGTTAGCGAAGTATGCCCACAGCTGAAGCACTTCAGACTGAGCAATGAAGATTTCAACGTTACTAGAGATTGGAACAAGTGTTAATTACTTTGGATCATCTAGGTGCGGATCCAGTGGGTGATTTCTTTATCAGTTGAATCAAATACACCTATAGCTTCCTTTGGGAGTAGGAGACAGAGAGAGAGTAGGAGCATCTGACCGTCGGAGGAGCTCCCTGCCTTCGCTGGTTCGTCGATGAAGATCTGCACACGGCAGCGACGGTCGGAGTAGCGGTGAAGACCGTGGTGGCGCAGTGCAGTGGCGGCGGCGGTGCTTCCCGTCACTGGCTGCGCCCCTCTGTTAGATCGAAGTAGGGTTTCTAGGTGGGGCGTATGGCTCAGGCGAACCTCGTACTGAGAGCCGCCGACCCCACCTCTATTTAATGCGTAGTGTGACGGGGGCCCGCCAGCCATAGATAGACTGGGCGCCCCCGATCAGGGCGCGAGGTCAAGGCCCAAGCGGCCGTTGGGCTACTGTGGTTGGGAGATCAAACCAACATTCTCCCCCTTGATCTCAACTCATACTTTAACTTTAAACTTTGACTTTAATCCTTTTCACTTTTATTTGTTCCATCACAGATTAGTGCATAGAGCATGCTTCATCGTCATGGTCAATCGCCGATAGACTTAACAGCTACAATACACATCTCTGTTCTGAAACAGATTCTTTAACTTTGGGCCCTTTATTGTCCGGAAATCATAGGCTATACCATAAACCCATGTCGACTGTGTGTTCTCCAAACACACTGGGTGGTAAGCCTTTTGTACGCGGATCCGCAAGCACTTGCTTGTTACTTATATGTTCAATACTTTTAGTATGATTCCGGACTTTCTTCTTTACAACGTACAACTTTAACGTCAATGTGTTTGGCAGCACACTTGACCCGTTGTTATAGGAGCGAACTACTTAAATGGTTATTGCTGTTGTATACCATTATCAATTCTGGGTGTAAGTTCTTTTAACCACATCGCCTGTCCTTAAGCCTCATAACAAGCTATATCATGGTTATGCATCTTTGATGACACCACAACTGTTTCTTTGGAGCTTTTCCACAATAAAACTCCAACTGCGAGTGTTAGCTACTATGTGGGTTTCACTAAACATCTTGCCAAAATTTAACTTTTGTACCCACAACTATTTGAGAGTACTTATTCTTTCTTACTCACCATGAGGCCTATAAATCCTTGCACAATTGCAAAACATTCCCAACTCCATTCCAGTGATCTATATCTGGACTGGACTTCTGCCAAAAATATCCCGGATACATAAACTGTGTAAGGGTAAGTTCTTGCTTATAAGCATTCAGTAAGCTTCCAACAGCTGAAGCATATAGGACGTCCATTTGATCGATCACACATTTATTCTTGGAACACTGAAAGTTCCAAAAACTATTACCCTTGACTATAGGAACAGGCGCAGGTTTATTCACATCTATACTTTATTTCTTTAGAATCTTCTCTAAGTATACACTTGAGATAGTTCTAATACCCCTTTCCCTTTTATCTCAGTAAGTTTCAATTCCTGGAACGAATGATGCTTTACCAAGACCATTCTCATTGAAACTTGAGGACACGAACTGCTTCTTCTCCAACAGTAGATTAACACCACTACTAGCGAGTAAGGCGCTACCCACATGCAGGATTAGGAAAATAAATTTCCCATGTTTAAACTTTGCATAAATACAATTGTCCTCTACATTCTCTTTAAAACCAAACTTTCTTATTGTACTGTCAAACTTCAAGAACCACTGTCTTGAAGCTTGCTTTAATTCATAAATGGATTTCTTTAGGCAACATCCCTTTACGTTCTTTTCCTTCCACGATAAAATCTTTTGAGTTATGCCATGTAAATGTTTCCATACAAATCCTCGTTGAGGAATGTGTCTTTACATCCTTCTGATGTAACTGTAAATTGTAATGTGCTACTAATACCATTATGATTATAAAAGAATCCTTGCAAGCTTATTATAATCTATTCCTTCTCTTTGTGTAAATCATTTCGCCACAAGTGGCGCTTTATAGCTTTTCATATTTCCTTTGGAGTCACATTTGTCTTGTAGACCCATTACAGCCTACTATGTTGGCTCCATTGGAAATTACTTCTAAGTCCCAAACATCGTTGGTATTTATCGATTTCATTTCATCTTCCTTTGCTTCTTGCGATTTAGACGAGTGAACGCCTCTCATGGCTTTTTCAAATGAGGTGAAATTATCCTCTATTTGAATTTCTTTCTTAACATTGACTTCTTAGTCGTCAGAAATATCTGATTTTCTTATTCTTTGAGACCTTCTGGGGCCTCGTGGCACTTCTTTCATATGGGGCTATTGTTACTCTTCATTGCCAAAAGGCAATTGTTCTATAGCCTCCTATATCACAAGATCCTTCTTTACTTATTCATCTTCTTTAAGAGCTAACATCTGGTGTTGTATATGTCATACAACATCAGCATGTATAAGGCAATTTGTTGCTCTAAAAAACACTGTAGTGGATATGTAATCCCACTTCTATTCAAGCCTTAGGTATCTACATACCATGCTCCCCCAGATTACTCCATCTTCTGAAAAGATGGTGTATCTTCAAATTTCTTATTTTGGGTTTAATCTGCTAAAAAACTCATATGGCGTGTTTAGCACCGCCTTGATAACTCTGAACTCGTCCAGTATAAATACTAGCCGACTATGCTATCTTTCTATCGAAACTATAAAAAGGTGCAGGAATTTAGCTATTTCTTTACTTTAGGGGTATCGTTATTATGACCGTCTTACTCCCTCAACGATCACAATCATCTTTTATAGATCACTTTTACCTTCAATGCATAGTATGCATTGCATTATCAAAAGTATGGGGAAGTATCTTTCTTAATTGTCTTTCTTAATTAATCTTACATTTCCCCCCCTCGAAATGTGGTATGAACTTTTTTACCACAATTTCGAAACATTCAGAACTCTTGTGAATGAGGAAACTTTGATTACTTACTTCATCCACATGATTACATCATGCAAACAAAATTCGTATGGGAGTACATTTTTCTCATTACACTTTAAAACTCAACATAGTCTATTATTATCAATACTTCTGCAAGTCATGCTTGCATATCATTCTTATCTTTTGGTTCACATGCAACTTTCTTTTGTTCTTAAACTCATTGAGTACTTAATGACCATGACACAATCAGAGTGTACGGTCAATACTAGGATAGCATAAAAGCTACCTCAAACTTCTCTCCATGTGCGGGATACACTTAGAGCATATGAGTCATCACATCCTTCTCCCGCTATGCGGGATAAGTACTATGCCAAACTCTCCCGCCATACAGGATTGGTTAACATATGTACTATGCCAACTTTACCCCGCCATGCGGGTATTTTCTCAATCTTTTCCCGCCATGCGGGTACTATCACAAACTTTTCCCGCCATGCGAGATAATTCCCTTGAACCGACATAAATGCCAGGATTGGCTCATGTTCAATCATCAAATATAGAAATAAATCCGAATATTCTTTTAACACACATGTTTAATCCAATGTTGGTCAAATTAAACATGTATATGACTTTTACAACTCTCATAAGTGAAACTGAAAATAAATTCTTCTCCACAGAGAGTACATAAAAGACATTTCTCAATGAAGACTCTCATTGATCTATCTCTTTTCTTGGATCAATATCCTAGAATTCTTTTCTTTTGAGGTCATTCTTTAAAGAGAACACAGTCCCTTAACCAATGGGATTCTTTCATACATTAACTTGTCCTTAGGCATTTCATCATCTGAGTCACAAGTACCCAGCTTATTTCTCTTTCTGCCTTCAAGAATGAAAGCATGGAGGTCTTTTGTCTAAAAAATATTCAACAATAATGCTCATTAAACTTTGAAAACTTTATGTTTTATTCTATATCACCGTTGGGCAAAAATAGAATAAAACATCATTCTTCTACATTAATTCCACATCACCGTTGGGCAGAAATGGAATTAACGTATAGAAATTCAATAATCTTGAAAACATAGAACTGCTCCTCAAAATTAAATTCTCCCGTTGGTTCGAATTTAATTAGAAGATAATCAACTTTATTACAGCGGAAACATGAAAATACTTTCTCTATAAGAGCATTCCATGATTTTTATCTATTCTCTGAAAAATTGGTCACTTTGATGCAAAATTCATCAGAGATTTAAACTTTAAACATAAAACTCATAGAATTATAATATTGTTATCATCAACGTTGGTCAGAAAATAACAATACCATAATTTAACTTTAAACTTAAACTCATAAATAAACTTATAATATTGTTATCATCAACGTTGGTAAGAAAATAACAATATTATAATTTATCTTAACTATCAACCGACTATTCCTCCAATTAAAATTTTCCAGCTGATTCTAATTTTAACTGGAGGATAAACTTTTCATCATTTACTGAATAACTATAACTGCTCTTCAAATTAGAAGACAATAAACCTTTAACTTTGCAGCGGAAACTTGACAAAATTTCTTTATCTACTTTTCAGAAGCATTTTACTATATTTTTCAACTCTCTGGAAAATCTAACACGTTGATGTAATTTTACCAGAAATTTAAACCTTCAAAATCATTTAAATCTGCTTCTGAAAATGATAAAACAAAAAACCATGAGCTACCCTTTAATTCTATTCTTTTGGCCCACCTCAGAAAAGTGGCCTGCGGCCCATTTGCGCGCGGCTTTGCCGCGGCCCAGCTCTGTGCGCTCCGCGCTCGGCCCGTGGGCTAGCAGCACAGCAGCAGCAGCGCAGACGCAGCCCGCGGCTCAGCACCCGGAGCGCAACGCTCGCTCTCCCGCGCCCAGGCCGCAACCTGGGCCTAGGCCGAGAATTCGTCACCCCGCCTAGGCCTCATTCAGCCCGGCGAATCGTGGCCATTCATTTTG